TAATTCTGGCACTATTCATGATTTAGATTAAGAAGTTTTAAATAATATTCTTCTAATAAACTATAGAACTGTATTTTTGCAAAGGGTAGGCCAAAAGAATGTAAGTCATGTATTACCAGTAGGCAAGTCCATGGTGCAGTTGTGTATGTGATAATGACTGAATATTTAGTACCTTTGAATCACTATTTCATATTATTTGGGTAGTAATATGATCAAATACAGGTTCTTACTTAGGCCTGAATTTAATTGTGACTTCTATACATTCCTTCACAGAGGTGAAATGTATCAGACCATTTAGTACCTGGCTGCTGTCCAGGTGGTGGCATAGATGTATTTCAAATGTGTACACCCTAATTATGATGATAATAGTAATACCAGTTGCATGTAGATGGAATATATACTGAAGCAGGACCAGGCTTTCTACTGTGGTAGACAGCAGAAACATACTTTCTTCCCTTTTGTCAGAGACCCTTAAAATTTAACTTGCAGGAAATGCAGCGTGGGCAATGGCCACCTCCAAACCTGATATTCTCCTGATTCTTCTGCAGAAACTGATGGAAGAAGGAAATACGCTGTATAAAGTAGGTAGATTTTTCTTTTTTTCTGGCAGCAGAGCATTGGACTTCTGCCTAAAGGTAGACTGAATTCAACTATATAATCTGATATATTACTACTCTGTTAAAACAAAATAATACGTAATTTTTTTCTGGTACTAGTAGTACGTATTAGTGCAAATATTATCCTCACCAAATACCACTGAACATTTCAGTTCAGAAAGAAACACAAACTCTGGTTAACATGCAGGCTCTCACTGTGCTTGTCTGATAGTATAGTTCATACTATATTTATTGAAATACTGTATTGTATATTTATTGAAAAATCTGTCTCTGTGTTTTTTACTGGAAGGGCATCTCTTGTTAGATGTCAAATATAAATACGCTTTTTGGCAACAGTATTGCAATATTAAAAGTTTGTGAAAAACCTCTTGTTCCCTAAAATTTGCAGAAAGGCAAGATGAGGGAAGCAGCACAGCGCTATCAGTATGCACTGAGGAAGTTCCCAAGGGAAGGGTTTGGTGAGGAAATGAAAGCCTTCACTGAGCTGAGAGTTTCATTGTACCTGAACTTGTCACGATGTCGCCGCAAAACAAATGTAAGCTCTTGCTGTTAGTCTGCTGCCTCTCTGGCATAGGCAATCTGAGACTTACATCCTACTGCATTACTGGGGTTGTATGTGGACATCTATCTGTGCTGTTTTATAATATATCCTGGCCTTGGGTTTTATGATGTCAATAAATGGGTGGCTTGTAAGATGAAGGCGTGTTGCCGTTGGGGGGTCTCTTACAGCTAGTCTTACATCATGCAGTTATTTTGGAATGATGAACTGCTGGATCTGAGTGGTACTTTTAAAAAACTGAATGGAAAACACTGCTCCCACCCTTTGTTACCAACAGCACAGCCAGGTGCCATGGCTGTGCCCATGTGTGCTTTGAGCAAATCCCTGCTCTTGCAGACTGGGGCAGGAGCCTCTGCCGCGTGCACTGGCTGCGCTCCCGGAGCCCCAGCACGACCCGGGGCTGGCAGCTTGCTTTGACTGTGTAACCAGCATGTTTGATTCTTTGATTAGGATTTTGGTATGGCTGAAGAGTTTGCTACCAAAGCCTTGGATCTGAAGCCTAAGTGTTATGAAGCCTATTATGCCAGAGCAAGAGCCAAGAGGAACAGCAGGTACTGTTTGATTCTGTACATCTGTCTGCACGCTTTTTTTTTTTAACTTGCTGTTTTTAATAACTTGTTCTTTTCTGCTAGTTATATTTCAAATTTGCAATGAAAAAATTACTTTTAGTGCACTTTGCATCTGTACTAGGTTTCTCTATCAGATAAAGCCAACCACATCCAGATAGCAATATTGAGTACTCTGTAAGTACTTATGAGGCAGTCCAGAAAGTAACAAATTCATTTGAAGAAGGATTATTTTAGGTGTAACATTGAATGGGTCTGCTGCTCCACATGACTCAGCAGAATGTGCCCAGCAGTGTGCCACCCAACTCCACCACTTCATTCTTTATTGCCAAGTTCATGATTTATTACTGGCTGCTTTGATAGGACAGAATATGATGAGTCATTAGCAGATGAAGACAAAACCAAGGGGAGAGAGGAGCAACTCTCTCTTTAGGTTGGAAGAATAACAAACTATAGTGCTGTAGCTGAAGTACGGGAAGAGGTGCCTTTTGGATTCACCGTGTCTTCTCTAAACATATCAATAAAGGAAACAGAGTGCAGCAGGTTCCCTATTCAGGAGGTAATTGAAGAGCTTGTGAGACCAAGTGTCAATTCCTGGTGTTCCCAGCAGAGAGGTTTCTTGCCTGCCTGCATGGGGTGTCAGGATACCTGAGAGAAGAGTTTAGGGTTGCGTCTGCACTTCCACTCTAGTTAACAATTTCCTGAGGTGGAGAACTTCCAGTTCTAATTTGTCACCACCTGCAGCAGGAAGCAACTAATCAGGGTATGTCACTGCAGAGGTGGAGATGGATTAGTAGTAGGCAATGCTGGGACTCATATTTACCCCCATTTTCATTGTTTACTTACTTCTTCCTGAACAGAAAACTCCTTGCTGCTCTCGCTGACCTACGGGAAGCCACTCAGCTGTGCCCCAGCAATCAGGAAATAAAACGTCTCCTGGCTCGGGTGGAAGAGGAATGCAAACAGTTCCAGAGAACACAGCAACAGAAGCATCAGTCTCCACAGCTACTTGAACAAACCAACAACTCTGATAATGAGGAAGAGGGTATTGTACCAGGTGTGAATGATAATTTTAATCCTCAAGACAGGGAAGATGAGCTACCACACCCCAATGAATCTCTTTCCCCTCCACAAAGGCTGCAATGTTCCTCAGCTGCTTCATTATTTAGCAGGACTCTTCAAGAAGGTGTTCAGAAAGCTCAGTCTGTGTCCCCTCAAAGCAGAACATGCAACAAGTACCTAAGAGAGCCAGGCTTGATCATGCAGCCAACAAAGCAGGCACAGATTGTAAAAACTAATCAGCATCTGAGCTCCATCCAGCCTGGATCTAAACCAGGAAGCAGTCAATGTAGCACCAGGACACAATCGTCTTTGCAGCATCTTCCCCACAGTCCCTTGCCCATCCGGCACTCCAGAAGTCAACATGTGGATGGGACAAGCACATTATCATCTGGAAGCATTTCCACAGATCCCACTCCTGAAGTGCACAATGAGAAGTTTGTGTCCAGCCAGCGTTCACATCCACAGCATCACGAGACTCTTTCTTCTCGTTGTTTTGCTACTAAATCTAAACCTGGTGACACATCAACAGCCTCTACTCCAGTGAATTTCAGTGACTCAAGGCAGCAAAGCCCTGTACCCAGTGGTGGTTCTTCTGGCTCTCCATCCAGTAGTGTGATTCTTGCCAGCTCATCAAGCAGCTTCACGTCAGACAGTGTTAAGGGGCTGGGCCCAGATGTTCGACTCAAAGAGACCAACGTCAACCAAGCTCAGGGTACTGAGCACCGACCTCGCAATACCCCCTTTATGGGAATCATGGACAAGACTGCAAGGTTTCAGCAGCAGAACACACAATCTAGTCGCACTTGGCACTCTCAGGCAGCAGATGGATTATCCACAAACATTGCTTCTGCAGGCATTCAGCCCTCCAACGTGGAGCAATTCTCAGTTAAACACTTCTCAACTAAAGGATCCTCTATAAGTACTGTCCCTGGAGAGGGCAGCCAGAGCAGCGTGCAAGCAAAAGAACGTGAGGAGCTCACGTGCCAAATCCCTCCCCACTGTACAGACAGCAGATCACCCAGCCAAGGGTCTCATTTATACCCTGATGCTGTAGCCAAACTGCCATCCCACAGTGCTCAGGACAGCCACCTCAGCCACGTCAGCACGGCAAAACCAAAGCGATCGTTCATTGAATCAAATGTATAAATGCCATTCTGTACATTGACAGGCTAGGCCTGGCTCACAACATGGCAGGGTCTGACTGCTCTACAGAACACTGACTGCCTGGGCATGGCTGGGTCCCAGGGAGCAGTCTTTAATGGGATACAACCACTTCCAACTGTTCCTACCATCACAGGGCAGTAACAGTAACTGGAATAACAAATTTGTGTAGAAAGACTCAGTTAGGTTGGCCTAGGAGCTTGAGCAGAGAAATCCTTTCCCTTACATGTTACCATTAAATAAGCGTCTCCTTTCACCTAGGGCTTCAGTCTTGGCTTTTGGTGTCTTGCATCTCACACATCTCAAATGCTTACGTACTGATGTCTCACAGCAGGGCTAAGGGAGATAATCTGCTGCAGAATACTCAGAGCTGTACATGCATGCATTTTTAAAAATCAAATTATTTTATCACTTTTGTAGTGAGATCTAATTTGGGTTGCATGATGTACATTTAGGAAGCATAAATATTTTGTGTATGAGTAAACTATAAGCAGCCATACTTTGACATGTAAATATAACTATTTTTAGTAAATAGAAAAAATGAAATGAAATGAGTGACATTTGCATGTGTATTGAGAGGCTTTGACCATATTGGTTATTGCACTGAAGAACACAATATTATGGCCTATTAACAATAATCGCACTTTATATAGGGTATCTAATCACCTTTGGGTGCTATCTTAAAGCAAAATGATTTATTGTTTATTTGTGAAAAGGTACAACAACAAAATGCTTAGTGAATGTTTTTATGGGAAAACTAAGAAAGGGATGGAGTGAAGGTGAAAGTTTGAGGAAAAGTGTATGTGCAGTTGCATGACAAGACGAAGTTGAGAAGTTGGTTTTTTGCGGAAATGAGGGGTTTTATTGGCAAGACCATTCTGAAAATGAACTGCTGCAGTGACATTCCTATGAGTGCAATCCAGTTGGAGTGCTCAGCTTTATACTCTTCCCACCACGCTTGATTACAGTGTTCTGTGTAAACAGCTGTACCCAGCTCTACACATCCTTCTGCAGTTTGCATCATTACACTTTAGCTTATTTATTGTTTACTGTTTATTTGATATTTTGTACAAGTCCTATATTAGTCTTGTCCTGTAGTTCTATTTTTGCACAGCTACTGTACTCTTTCCATACAAAATAAAGATTATTAATATACCTGTGGGATGAGATGCAATCCCTGATGGTTACAGGAGAAACTCTCTCCCAGCTTTTCCAACTACGTGTCCAGTAGTGAGGAACAGAGAAAGACAGACACATTTTGGTTTATTATACTAGAAAAAGAAATAGAGATCCTATACTTCGCTATTTCTTACCTTCTGAAAGACTGACTTGGCAAGATGAAGACTCAAAACGCATAAATGTAGTAAAAAAATTTAAGAAAATTTTACTTGAAAAATTGAGTTTGAGTACTTGATTCCTAAACAGAAATACCACAAAGTAGAACTACCAGGAAATTAAGTTTTTCTGGGAGTTTCCACCAGTGAAGGCTGAACCAGCCACAGATTAGAAGAGAAACACATCTTTCCATTTGTTTTCTGATACAGTGAATTCCTTCAGCTGCATAAACTTTCAATTAATTTTAACAAACAACTTCAAAATTAAGTGGTTTAACTATTTCTGCTGAGTCTCTAGCCAGCGAGTAATGGCCATTTTTAGTGTCCTGTTTGGTGTGAGCATAAGAGAGTGGAGAGGAAGATTCGTCATGGGACTAGATCGTCTATTGCTGATCCAGTTTTCCATTGCTTCCCTTTCATAGGAATAGCCATCTGCAAAGAAACCATCAACAAAAGCTCATATTACAGAGGCATGGCACTGTGCAGATATTAGCTGGTTAAATGTAAAAGGGAAGTAAGGAAATACATCCAAACGGGAAAATTGAGATCTAGAATAAGGACACTGTATGTGAAATCTTTCCTGTGGGTACAGACAGTTGCAGCTAGTTTCATGTATCTATCTCTGCCTGCAAAGCACCAAAGTATATTGTATACAAGTTAAATAAGACTTTCTTTTCAGGTTGAGTGATCCATAATGTGAAGTAAAAGCTCATTAGCATCAATCGCCTGACAGAGCTAAAGGTGCTGAACGGGGTCTTTGTACACCTGGCTGACCCAGGCCTGAGCTGCACCTGTACAGAGCCGTCAGCACTGGCCAGGTTCAGGACTTTGGCTCTTAGAGTTGGTAGCTGAACCAGCTGATCCTTAAAGAAAGAAATTCGGCCCCAGCTAAGCGTCAGGAATATCTGTGGTGGAATACAAACCCGGGTCTGTGCCCCTCTTCTAACACAGAGCCATACTCTGGTGTCCTTAATCCTTACTGAGTGAAGTTACCATCACTCCAGCAGTTAGCAAATGTCTTCATATTTTGGCCATTTGAATTCTCAGAAGCCTGCCCTAATACCTCAGAACTGGATGAAGTTAGTCACTGTTTACAGAGCAACAAAAAAAAATTATACTGCCCTTACTCTTGTATGTTCCTCCTTCCCTCTCCCTGCAAGACTAGAACTACAAAACACTAATTCTTCATAAAATGTTTTAACTATGTAACATGCTGCTGGCATATCACAGTTCCAAGCTGCATTTAAAGGAGTCTCATTCTGTACAAACTTTTAAGTAGGTGCCCTATAGATGGTGTGCCAAGCATAGTAATGAGCCTGGGTTGGTTTTTTTTTTGGGGGGGGGGGGGGGGGTTGGGCAGGGTTAATTTGATTTGTTTGCTTTTTGCCCCACTGAATGCACAAATCCATTTTGTACTTACTGAGCCAATGCTGTAGTTAGGTTTGTAAGTATATTTACAAGGCACGTAAAGGGAGACACATTAAAAAAAAGAAGTTGCTTGATACAGTATTTTTCCCATATCAGAGCTGTAATTCAGCAGATTAAATGTTTATCACAATCCTGGTTTGTTGCAACAGCTATTTAGAATAGTTTATCTTTCTGGGCCTGGTTATAAGATAGATGTGGGAACATAAAAATGGACCTATCTTTAGCCTCAAGTAATTAGCTTTAATCCATGTCATGTAAAGACATACCTGTGGCAATGACAGGATCATTCATAAGCTCTCTTGTTATGGGACATAGGAACTCATCAGGAACAGAAACCGAGATCGTTGTCATCCTTAGTTCTTCAATTTTCTGGAGAACTTTACTGCGCAGGCCTAGAGACTCTGAAAAATTGTTTGTACATGAAGTGGACAGCAAAGACAGGTAAGGCAAAGAGGTCAGGTCTTGAAACAGTCAGCAGCTCTTTTAAAGGAGACAGCTCCATCTCACCATCCCCCCAAACCACAGCCTGCAGCCAGCCCTGGCTCCCACTCCGGTCGGCTCTGCCACAGGCATTCTCTCCTGCTGTGCGACAGGAACTTGGGGCAGTCATGAAAACAGCCCGTGAAACCAGTGCAAGTGCAGCAGAGCCATGGCAGAGCTGTGGGCTGGCTGCACTCCCACAGTGTGACAGCAGCGCTGCCCTGCAGCCACCTCCTGGCACGGGACACTGCAGGGCCGGCCCCCGGCACCGTGGGAAGCAGTGCCAGGGGAAGGGAAGGCTGTGCACAGGTGCTGCCAGCACCTCCAGCAGCCTGCATTGCCCTTGGCTTTCACGCTGGCATTGGACAGCCCTGGTCACACCCCAGGTAAGCTGTTACACTACACCTGCTGTACAGCACTGCTGCCTAGGGCTTACACAGGCACCGTGAAAGGTGCCTGAGCCCGTGGTTTGTAAAAGAACACTGATGTTCTCCAACTGCAAAGACTGTGGAAAGCTCCTAGAGGTCTTTAGCAAGATCTTGCATCACATTCTCGGAGCAAAGAAAACGGGTTATCAAGAAGAGAAAGGACATGCTCATTCAAGCATCTGTATGGTGGTAGACTCCTAAAATTTAGTCAAATGGGAATTTGAGTAACAGAAAATGTTAGGAAGATAGTATTTTCCTTTGCTTTGCTTGGTCCTTATCAAAAGTCATCATCAATTGCACACTTAAGAATTGCACTGTTTGATTCCAGATTGGTGAACATCCCAAATTTTAAACATGCAGATGGATAGGAAAAACTATAGACCACCCTGTTTACCAAAGTGAGAAACATGAACTGTAGAGAAAAGCTGAAATTCCTTTTCCACAGCTTAATAATACAAGATCAAACAAGGAAAATAGAAACAAAATCAGGTAAGACCATGTAACATCATCATTAGTAGAAGTGCATTTTATGTCTCCAGGTATGAGCAAACACACACACATACAAAAGGTATGTACATTAGTGGTTTTTAACAGCCCTGGAAATTAAATAAAGGCATTTAAGGGGGGTGAAAAAACATGTATGGAACTCCTAACTTGCTTTCATTCCAACATTTCAAAGTACTCTGGAGATTAAAAACTATTTGGATTTCAATACTCTTACCAATTTTTAATTCATTAGCAAGACTTTCCTTAGTAAGTTTCAGTAGTTCCTTGCCATCAATATTATTAATTTTGAAAAGTCCAACGAAGTCTGCTAAATCCTGTGCACAAAGCCAGGCTGAAACATCATCCTCTGACCAGTCCTCAACAGCCACCTTTGATTCATTTTCTACAGTATCTCCTTTAGAAATAAAAAGAGTTTAAAAACAAAACAAACAAAAAACCAAATTAAAAACAAGCAATACCTTCCCTCTTCCCCCACAAAAAATCCTCACCACAACCCCCCAAAAGCAACCAACAATTAAATTCTCAGTTCAAAGAAACAATGTCATTAATAGATCCTGTTTTTAAGTGTACCACACATTCTTCATCTAATAAAAAAAATCCTTTGGGAGGGAGGGCAGCAATTTGGGTTAACCTTTTACCTATCAATTTTCAATTCTCTTAGATGCCTACACTTCTGTCAAATTTGAACTGAACAACCAGAAGTGTTAGCAGACACTGGAATCATCTTGCACCTCATTAGAAGACACACCAAAATCCAAACTTACAGTTGTGTTTTGAATAAAGACAATATGTACCTTTGTTCCACAAATTTTAGGTTCTGGTGTAATTTGTACCATTAGTTATCCTATATTAATGGCACTAATGTCATTTGTACAATTAGTTTTTCACCTATAACAACTGGTAAGGTGCATTTTTAATTGCCAATATGCTTGCAATTAGTGTATTTTCAACTTGTTGCAAATTATGGGTGTCCAAGAAGTCTTTCAGCACTCTGGCAATAATACTAATCTCTTAAATGCTGTCCAGAGAATAAACAATTGTGAATATCAGAAAAAGAGATACAGCAAATTAATAAAATTAAGATATGTCTAGTATATTTCTCTTTACAAAGTAACAGAAAGAGAATACCTCTTCAGGCCATTAATCAGGTCAATTAGAAGATAAAAAAACGTGCGCACAATCCTGACCTTGCACATTAAGTGCAGGTAAGAATGTGGGATTTTTTGCATCTGGTGTTTTGACTTTCAAGAACAGATTACAAATACTTCACACACTGACCTGCACAGGATTGCTTAAGGTCAAGCTGCCATATGTGCACAGTTTTATCCATTGAGCCTGTGGCAAGTAAGGGACTATGTGGTGCAAAAGCACAAGTTGTAACGTATCTACAAATAAAAAAAAAAGTCTGAAAATTCACAAGAAAAGGATTGATTTTATTTATAAAACAGAATAATCATGCTGATTTCTTACCTTGTATGCTGAGACAAAGTATGAAGGGTATTGCCAGTACTCTGTAAAAGAGTTTTTGTGATTTTAAGTCTTAAAGAATAAAAAAAGTGTTTCTTCACTTGCTTCCTTTCAAAACAAGGAATACTGCTTCTTGAAAGGTGACAGAAGCTACCTTCAGAGAAGTTACACAACCTTGGCAAAGCTGATCAGCAGCAGAGGCAGAAATGCAACTTGAATTTCATGCTTGAAGTCCCTATTTGTTTCCCTGGAGCGCTGCTCCCCTGCACAGTCAGCCAGCATGGAACATGCAGAGAGAACAGTGCCAGAAACACTGACAATTAAATCCATATTCGCTGGTTGGTTGTATAGGTAAAGACATTTCTAAAAATCTTGCATTAGAAATGACCAAAAAGGTCATTGTGGGGGTCAACCCACAATCCTTCAATTGGATCAGTAATTAACCACACCTATTTGGCCTGTTCTCTATTTGGCCACTCAATACTACTAAAAAACTAAATTCCTGAATTTTGGCAGTTTCAACTTATTACTGAAAGATTTTCTTTCCTATGAAAAATTGCATTTCTTTGACAGGTACAGACAGGTTGGAAAGATGATAAGCAAAGTTACTCTGAATCACTAATGGATCAGTCAGCACTCCAGTGTTTCGAGCTGTCCAAAATGATTGAAGGGCCCAAATACACGAAGAAATATCTCTCCCTCCCACAAAGGTTTATTGCCCTTACTTTTCCCCACAGAATCATAGAATGGTTGGGGACCTCTGGATATCATATAGTCCAACCCCCCTGCTAAAGCAGCATCACCTAGAGTAGGTGTCCAGGCAGGTTTTGAGTATCTCCAAAGCAGAATTTCCCAACTAGAAAACTTATTGTCCCATTTGATAAAAACCTAAGGCCACAAAAGCTGATGAACAGTATTAAGAAATACTTAGGCTGTGGTTACCCTCATCTTTCAATTTTCTGAGGCTCCCAAACTCTAGAGGACATCTTACATACCTGTCTAAACTTTAAACTACTAAAAGAACTGGGCCAAAAACTGTGCAGGTATCATGTTAGTGATTTTGGTGAAAAACTTTAATGCTAATTTAAATATTGTTTCAATACAATAGGTATGTGCAGAGAAAGCTGAAGAAGTTTAAAATTTGTTCATCCCTCATTTTCAGTAAAATCATTTTTAATACTATAAAGTACTAAAGGCATATATATCAGTTACAGGTAAACCATAAAGGATGTAACAACGTTATTATAGAAAAAGCTTAAACAAAATGTTTTAAAGACATTGTACTTAATATAATTTTTTTAAATTATTTATTATGCTTCTATTTTATGTGCACTTTACATATAACTAACTACAGAACTTCTATGATCACCATTCCTGATTTTATGTCAAAAGGTACAGTCTTTCTTGCTTTGGAAGCTAAGCTAAAGTTAGGATAACAAATAAATCCTTCTGCTTAAATATGAATCTTGTAATACTCGTAAGTACGGAATTAACTGAGTAACATCCTACTGCAGAAAAATCAACTGACAAATCCTCACAATGTAAATAAAAAGCAATAAAAGAGAAAGACTGATCAACTCACAGGAGATATTTTCCTTAGACTCCTTCCCTTCCTACCCCCAGATGCACAGTAAATATTTTGGCTTGGTATCATTTGTATTCTTTAATATTTTTTCATTGATAAGACATGCAGAAGCAGTGCTGATATTTAAAGACAACACCCCAACAAATGGTGGTGCATTATGCAATACTTACAGTTTCATGGATAATGACGCACTTGTCCACAGACCTTAAAAAAACACATTGACATTAAAATGATGCAGAGAAGGAAAAGGAAACTGTTTCATTAACCTTTTCCAGAACCTGAGATTTCAAACTCAATCACCTACAAGACACAGACCAATTGCAAAGACACTTCAACAGTTCTGGAGGTCACAGAACTATTCCTTAATTATTGATAATAAATATTTACAAATCTTCAACTCTTTTGAACTTTCTGTTTTACAATATTGAAGCATGAACCTGGACAGCCAGACATTTCAACAAGGTGCTGCTTACCCTGAGACTATCATCTGTCCATCACACGAAAATGCACAAGCCAGAACTGGGGCAGAGTGCCCATTCAGTGTGCACTTATATTTTAACTGAACACCTAAAAATACAAAAAGTAAATTATTACATATGGCCATATTTGACAAGGTATAACACAAGCTGCTTCAAGAAGCCCAAAACTGCACCTAAGATGTGACTCTGTGACATACTGTTCACAAAAAAGGGGATAAAAAGATCACAGAGACAACTTCCCTTTTAATATCTCCAACTTTCTCACTTTGTAGTCTTAGCATGTCTCACAAAGTTTTAGATAATTAAATGTGTATCTGGACACAACATTAATCCTTACATACTTTTACATAAAAGGGATTACAAAAAAGTACTCACTGAAGATATTTTTGGCAATTTACCTAGTCTCTACAGGGTTGTTTTTGCAGGAGCCAACATCCTTTTCTCCAGCTCTTATTCAAGGCACAGGATACACTGAAACATGAAAACAAACCTCTCCCTGGCCAGGCAGATTAAGAGGTTTCAACCTATCAACCTGTTGAAAGGCCACAGTAGAATTTTTTAAAATCTTTACTTTCAATACTTGTTGATAAATAGATTGCTGAATAAAAACTACATGGTGCAGTATCACCAAATGCTGAATGCCTTAGCTGTTCTCCAGCTAATAATTCAAAGAAATCTTTCCACTTGCGGTTAGTTTGGCTGTGAATCCAGTAGTATAAATTTGATTTTTGATTTAAATTGTCACTGAAGACCTAAGACATTGGTATATTCACAAAACATTTCCATACAAACCTAAGAAATCTGCAAACAAAATAAGCCACAGTTTGGTTTTATTATCTTGTCCACAGGAAGCCATCTGGAAGTATGTGAATCCATTTTCACTATCTGATAAAATATATAAATGGGAGTCAGAAACATTGAAAATAACAGCAAATCAGTAAACTACATCAGCATAAAAATCTATCAGAAATTCTAAAACAGTTTGAACATAAGAAATAGGTGTAGTTATACTCTTTCCTGAATAAGTAGATAAAGACAAGAGCTGTGCTCAGGTTTTAAGTTTCTTTGATGGGAAATGTTTGATTCCTCTAAATATACCGCTGGAGTATTTTAATCTAAATTATATGGTTATAGCCATTTTTTCTACAGTTCTGTAATTCTCAAAATTAACCATACACACGTACAAAATTTGAAAGTATCTGACAGAGAATTTCCATATTTTTACACATTCAACTTTTCATTTTTATAAACTCACATTTCATGACTGCAGTTCAGCCAAACACTCAGTAAATACTGCATTAAGTGTGAAATACAACAATGATAAGTTTTATAGCTTTCCCCTCTTGATTCAGTGGCTATGAACATTTCTGAATGATCATGTTCCATGAGTGGACTGTTAGATGCATAAGGAAGTGGTTGGATGGTTACAACCTGAGGGCAGTGGTCAACGACCCAGAGTCCCAATGGACCAGCAGTGTCCCTCAGGATTCTCTATTGGGATCAATGCTATTTAATATCTTCATTAAGATACTTAATAGGGAGCAAGAAGGGATCAAGCACACCCTCAGCAAATTTGCAGATGACACCAAGCTGAGTGGTGCAGTGACACACCAGAAGGACAAGGATCTGGGAGGACCCCAGAGGGACCCAGACAAGCTCAAGCGCTGGCCCAAGGGAACCTTGGGTGCTGGTGCAGCAACTGGATTGGGGCAAGACCCAGTAACAATCCAGGCTGGGGGGTGAACAGCTGGGGAGTAGCCTTGCCAAGAAGGACTTGGGGGTGTTGGTGGGTGAGAGGCTGTGAACATTGCACCCCTTGCTAGCCTCAGCATCACCTTGGCCTTCCCAATCAGAATTCATTTCCATACTTCTCCCAAGCTATGGGTCTTTGTTCCCACTGCCTGTGCATTTGCTTCTTGCCTTTTAGTTTGACCAGCAGTTCCTGACTCAGCCATGCCAGTCTCTTGCCTTCCTTGGCCAGTTTGTGGCTCCCAGGCACCACTGACTCTTGCACTCAGTAGAAGACTTTCCTAAAGATCTGCCAACTCTGCTCTGTTCCCTTGTCCCTGAGGGCAGTCCCCCAGGGGATCCCACTGACAACCTCCCTGAAAAGCTGGAAGTCTGCTTTCCTAAAGTTCAGGAGCCTGCCTCCATTCCTTACCTGACCTATACTCCTTAAGGTGGCAAACTCCACCACAACTGCTCTAGATTCCATGAGCTCCTAGGCAACTGTGACTGAATCCACTGCAAAGGCAGAAGAACCACCTGTTACAGCCTAAAGCACAAAGAACCTATCAGACACTGGATCAAAACTTGCTCTGAATTAAGCAGGTAAAGAGAGTCTCAATATAAAAGTATCTCTAATTGTACTGGATAAGCACTACTTGTATGCATTTCATAATGTGCCAAATCTGCCAAAAATCCCAGAAGGTTCAACCATTGATGATTAAACAGCAACATACAAAAGGAAATATGTTGACTTCCAACAATATACGGATTAAAAAATCAATAATTATCATAAATCGGCCAGAACAAATCCAGAGTGTAGGAAATACCTATTTTGTTGCCTTTGTTTCACTTTATCTTGGCAGAAAGCTGTAATTTTTAAACCAAGAGAATAATCTCAGTATGAAATGGAGTGGGGGAAATTACACTCTGTTTCAGCTGCAACACATTTTTTTTTCCCTCAGATGCAACTCTTAGTTCACAATGGAGTTTTTGTGCAGTATTTTCACCAAGAAAGATGCTATACCTTTCAGTGGACACACATTTGTTTGATTTGGTATTGTCAATCACTAATTCTCTGTTCTGAAGTGCATGTTTGCATCCGTCTTCCTCAGCTTCCTGCTGCTTCTGTCCTGCTTTCTTCCCCACTGCTTCTCTCCTGTTTTCTCCCTGCTCTGCACCACCTTCTTAGACAGGGTGGTATACAGCCAGCACTACTCACTGCTGGGTTCAGCACTTGAAGATGCAAGTGGCTGCTCAGTTATAACTTTTGGGGCCTTGAAAGGGCAGCTTGTGTATTCTGAATACAAAAGCCTAAATATGTTGATGAAGATCACTTTGTCTCAATAGTAGACCTGGAAAGCACGAAAGTATACACACAAGGTTGTTAACTCAAGTTGCTGCAGTACTTCCAAAAGCTGACCATGAGGCTTCTTCCCATCTTCCTAACCTCCATTAGAAGCAAATGACTACGTGGTCAAATGCTAAAACAGCTCTAAGATTTTTGAACATCTTAGTGGAACACAGGAGATTATTGGCTCATTACTTCCCCAAATTCCTCCAATTGAGAAAGTCTGGCACAGGAAAATAGCCTATCTGTTCTTATTGTACAGATCAAGCATTTAGCTTATTAAGTTTACAGCTCTGTGCATTGTTTTAATCCAGTCCTGCTCCTTGGGAACCAAAGTATGAAAGAGTCAAGTGGGAATGGTAATCAAGCACTGCATCTTCTAAAACCCTTGTCTGTTGCAGGGTAATTAGCTACCCAAGGTTATCACCTTGTTTGTTGATCTTGTACATTCCTTGCCACCAACGTGACCACAACATTTACTTAAGAATATTCCAAATATTCTAAAACATCTGCTCTTCACAAGGTCATTTGTATCTTCAGCACCAATGGCAAAAAGAATATGAATACAAGAGCTAGGGAGAAATAAAGTATCTCTTTTTAAAAATATTGCTCCCCGATGAGTTGAATAACTAACCAGATACTGGATGTGAAGAAATATCACAGCAGGTAACGCCAAGATCATGTGCTTTTTCATTATACAGGCATCTCATTTTATCATCCCAAATGGTTAAATCACCACTTGATGATCCAGTGACAAAGAAACTTCCATTGGGAGAAAATGCACAAGCCATCAAAGAACCACCTTTAACTTTCCCAGATCTGAAAAGCAAGAGTACACAGGATTTGAATTCAGAGTAGGTAAAGTTCTACAAAGTGACCTCTCAAATGCAATCTGATGCAATAAGCCAAACTCTTTTAAGGTCTGCACTTTGGAACTAGATAACAAAAGAAACTCAAACCAAGTATGAAAAGAGAGCAAAATAAGCTGTGCAGCAGGGACCAGACCTGCTCTTTGACAACAGTCAATTATAAGAGCTGAGTAGATAAGGAGCAAATATTATGTAATTTTATTATATATTTATATCTATATATTTAGTCAAGTAACAAAACAGTGTCAAGTAACTAAACAAAAAAATGTTTTTTTCATTTTCAGCATCAACACAATCAACTGTTTCAAAAGAAACAGAGGAGCACAGATTGACATTAGATGGTTAACTAACTTCCTCTGACATAATTTTTAAGTACCTTGATGATTTCTATGTGATACTGATTTCAACTTTTAAAAACAGCACATGTGCATTTTTCTATCTGCAATTACAAACAACAATAAAAAAATTAATCAGCTGAAAATACACACACACATAGACATCCCAAAATAGATATAAAGTTAAGTTGACTACTGCTAGCCTATTAACACTCTGAAATGAACTTTCAGTAGTTGATGGGGACAGGATGGGAATGTTCAATTTTTTTCTTATTTCTCTGCAATGAAAACACCAAAGCAGAATAGTTCTGGCTTGTAATAACAATATAGTTTCTACGTAGTCATTATACATGCACCATTCAACTAGAAGAAAATTAGGATGTAAGTCTAAAACATGCATCACTGCATGTATTAAGAGCATACAATTGTAAGAAATGTTGTTTTCATATTTCTGGGTTTTTCCCTTCAGCAACAAGCATTCTGAATAAAAAAATAGAATCTCTTCACTAGTAATGTCTCAAAACAGATAAACCCTCAGATTTCAGAATACCAATGACTGAATTTTCCAATTTTTCTTAAACATAAAACTAGGTAAAAATAGGTTATCTTTACTGTCTGAAAACAAAACCACCATTCCAGTGTTCCTTTATGTATTACAAAAAACGTGGTGGCAAAAATCTATAAGAATTCTGTTTATGAACAAATTTCCAGATTTACACAATTCCAAGTAACTATAATCAATCATTTTGAAAGACTGCACAATTCCCATGTAAATCACTGCTGTGGAAGACAAAGAGGCCACAAAAGGAGGGACATGCTTGACAGGAGACTACCAACATCAAACAATTCCTTCCTCAATCTGGACTGAAACATCAGTTCACTCAAATTCTTAACTACTTTTCTAACTTTAGGATAATTTAGTTGTGTAATAGGGCCCTAAAAATCTATATAATATCTTGCCCAAGTACAGATTACAAATGGCCTGAAGAATGCACTGAAAGATATAGAGGAGGACTCTGAAAACAGTGCTAAGGTTCATGCCTTTAATTGTGCCACACCTATAAATATCTGCAAGAAACACCAGTAAGGCTCATCTACTTTGTTTCAAATGTTTCTTGGAAACCTATGTGAAATTTTGACTGTCATGCTTAACTTATTTAGCACCAATACTTCTTTCTGGCACTTCATGTCTTAAAATGTACAGTTTCAGGACAGGTCCATAGTTTTCCAACTCTGATTGCTGGATTATCAGCAAGCTTCTAAGACTTTCCTGGACTCCACATGCCTGGTAATTAAACATTCAATTTATACTACTATGTGTAATGCAATATAAAGCACACAGTATGGTCAGGCTGCACTGTGTATTATTATGTATCATAGTTTGTTGACCCACTGTTTAGAAAACAGATGCACACAATCTGCAATGCATTCTGATCTCACGTAAAATCAATGAAATGAACTTTAAAAAAATCAGGATTTAGATGCAAGATAACTTTATAAAAATTAAAGCTTCTTGCGTTCACGTTGTTTAACTTAAAAAACTAAAAGGTACTCAGAACTTTTCCCTCTCCTATTGATAAATCTTTCGGTCATCTAAATCCTATGCCCGTTTCTTTGTGATACCCATCAGTGGTGTAAGTCTGCAATATCCTGCTTACAGCACAGCATACTACTTGAGCTACAGTCACTTCAAAAGGAAGTATTTGTCCAAAACTATTTGGCACTCACCGGTACAGCTTCAAGGACTGCACGTTCCAGAGCACCACGCTGCCATCCGCCGCCCCTGCCAGCAGGCAGGAGGCGTCGGGGGAGAAGCGGCAGACCCTGACGGGGCTGGCGCCGGGCTGCGGCAGCACGGCCAGCCTGCGGCCGTCGCGGGGGTCCCAGAGCACGACGGTGCCGTCCGTGGAGCACGAGGCCAGCACGCGTCCCGACGGCGAGAAGCAGCAGCAGTGCACGGCGTACGCGTGACCTTCCAGCGGCGAGTACGGCAGCTCCGCGAAGTCGCTCAAAGAATAAACACGGATTGTTTTGTCCAAGGAACAAGTAGCCAAGCACGACGATGAGAAGGCGCAGTAGTTGACATCATCACTATGATCCGCTAAAGTGTGAATTAATGTCGCCATTTAAGAAAAATAAAAATCTGAAAAGGAGTTTAACAGTTAGACTTAATTTTCCTATTTCATAAATGAAACATACTACCTCTGCAAGACAAATTCTGAAAAAAAAAAATAAAAACTCATTTGCAAAGGCAAGTTTTTCACTTAGCATTGTGTAGGCACAAAACCACAGACAAGTTTGTGTTGGAAGGGACCTTAAAGCCCATCCAGTTTCATCTCCTGCCATGATCAAGGACACCTTCCACTATCCCAGCTTGCTCCAAGCCCCATGCAGCCTGGCCTTGAATGCTTCCAGGGATGGGGCAGTCACAGCTTCTCTGGGCACCCTGACAGCCCAAGAATTTCTTCCTAACCTCTAATCTAAACCTACTCTCAGTTTAAATCCATCCCCCTTTCTATCACTGCACTCCCTTGTAAAAAGACTTTCTCCAGCCTTTTGTGCTGAAGCACTTACCAGTAAAGACCAAGACAAAAAAGTAATTTAGTACCTTAGCTTTCTGCATGTCTTAGGTAACCAGGTCTCTTGTCTCCTTCCAGAGAGGGCCCACATTTTTCCTAATCTTCCTTTCATCACCAGCATACCTAGAGAAACTTTTCTCGTTGCTCCTGACATCCCTGGCTGGATTTAATTCCATCAGGAATTTAGCTTTCCCAGCTTAATCCCCGACTGCTTGAACAATCTCCCTGAATTCCTCCCTGGCTACCTGCCCTTGCTTGCATCCTCTTCCTTTTTTGACTTTGTCTTTCTGCTTACTTTGACAGACAGCAACAGTATTGACGGCAAAACATCAGCGCAATACCACACACTTGTGTTGCCAAGGTTTGACCAGACTGACTAAAGCATTTAAGTCAAAACATGAATATTAATCAGGTGATCAGATTTGGAACCTCTCCAGAAATTGCGCCTGCTGTTACACAGAACAACAAAAGGCAATGTGAACTTCACGTGCGTTTTCCCAGGACTCAAAACTGCTGGAACCAGATTAAATTGTATCAGACAAGTGATTTACACTGCTGAGGTCCACGAAATCCCCGAAGAGGTATACTCCAACCACTTACTCCTCATGCTGCACATCACTGACTAGTTTCCTGAGAATAAGGAAGCACAGAGCCAATATAAAGTGCCCACAACTCTTATAAGCTGCTTATAATGAAAAAAAAGTAATATTATTTATATTGCGTTAACTTAAATAATAGTCTGCTGTTTTAAGTAAGTGCTTCATTCTGAATAATAACTTCAGTGCTGACGCATCTGTGAACAAAACCATATATACTCCCTTTTTTTTTTTACATAGAAATATACACACTCATATGTTTGTATGTATATGGACATACAAGTATGTATAACCGTATGCACACATGCAGAGGTATGTACGTATACACACAGACACAAAGGTGCATATGTAAGGGCAAAATACTTGTTCTCTTCAGACAGTGTATGGCACACCGATTTAGTTACAGACCAGATCATTGAACGCTACCTACTTTAGCTTCAGGATGCTCAGGTTTTTTATACTCTCTTTAAAACCATTAAACAGATGAAGTAGTATCAATAACATAGCTGCAGAAAGAAAATAAACATACATTCTTCAACTACGAGAAACCGAAGAGTCAAACAAAGCTTGACATCTGGAAAGATGAGCTGAAAAAGGGACTTTGATCTCACTGTCAGAAGACTTTCAGGAGCTCACTGCAGGAAAGAAAACCTAAAAACAAGAGGTTTCAGTATGAATAAATCGACTGAGGGAGAGAAGAGCAGCGGGAGCTTTCGTCACCAGAGAGCTGTTCAGCACCGGAGCATCATCTCCTCTGGCAATCACGTATTTTTTCTCATAATCCAAAAACCAGCAGCACCTGCCCACAGAAAGAGCTACAGCAATTCTCGACACGGCTGGCAGCCCCTTCCCTATTGCTTTTTCCCGCAGCCTAGCCCCACCCAACCCAGCGCGCCGGCGGCGAGGCGGGGACGCGCTCGGAAGGCCGGCGCGGTGACCCCGAGCTCGAGTGGCAGGTGTCGCGTAAACAACAGCGTGCCCCGGCTGCGCGGGGGTTCCCGCGGCCGCCCGCCCTGGCCGTGAGGGGATCCCGCCCGCACCTTCCGCCTTCCGCCCACAGCGCCTCCTGCCTCGGCCACCCCGCACGGCCCACGGAGCTGCGCACGCGCGGTGGTCCCCGTCCACCCCCCCCCCGGCCTCCCGGTATGGTACGGTCCGGGCGGACGCGCCCCGCTCCGGGCCGTGCCACTGCACGCCGGCCGCGGGGGGAGCCGGAGCTGCGTTTCCCGCTCTCAGCGCCGCCACTGGTCCCGGCCCTGAGGCAGCGCGGGCGCGGATCGTGCGGCCTTCAGCCCTCCGCGCCCTCAGCTCCGACCCGGAGCCGCACAACAGCCGCCGGCGCTAGGGCTCCCTTGGCACGAACCCTGCGTGGGTGCGGCCGGTGCCAAGGCCTCTGGGAGCTCGGCGGGACGGACGTTCCCGGCCACTGCCGCGCCCTCAGATCGGCACACGGCCGGGCGCCAGCCGTGTCCCAGCGGGCAGCGGGGCCATGAGATCTCGGCTCCGCCGCTGAGATCGCCACGGTGACCGCCCCAGCCCGCCATGGGCGCGGAGCGAAGCAGAGCGCAGGGGAGCTCCAACCAAGAGCGCTCCCTCAGGCCCAGCAGCCGTCAGGTAATTTACATCATCGCCTCTCCCCCCGCACAAACACGCTCAGCAACTCATGCATAATAAATAGTTTCTCCGGCACCTGTACGTTTTGAGGAAGACAAAGTCACCTTCTCGGAGTCACTGCGCCTAGAGACCATTCCCTAAATGATTCCGTGTTTAGTCTGTACCATGTCACGCTCTGTTTTATAGCACATTGTTTGATTGCGCACTCTGATCCACGGCTGAAGCCTGGCCTTTCATTGTTCTGAATCCTAGGTGACAGCCACTATTAATAAGAAGGCTTTAGACCTCCTTTAAAAGATACATACTTTGATTTTCAGCTGCTTTTTTATCATCCCGTTTTTTTTCAAAGAGATAGCAAGAGACAAAAGAGCACCCACACTCAACCAAAACATTCTTCATTGAGCACCATTACAGTACTTATAAAATAGTAAGTTTGAAAGTTTCGGAATAAATTCTCTAAACTAAGACTGAACACTTCGTTCAGAAAGAATGAGTGCGCACTGGAAAAGTTCTCCTCTTAAGAAAACATACAAACATCAATAGAAAAGAAAATTTATAAAGAGGAAACATTACAAACATTTTTCTAGTAGTTAAATCCCTGCTCTTTTCTATGGAGATACGAGGGCATATGCATTATTCAAGCTTGCCATTCAAATATAGTATTTCCTGTAAATTTAATTTTACTGGAAGAATAATGAAGACACTGACTGTTAGCAAGGAAAGCAATACACTGGCCATGTCAAGTTAGAAAGAGGTGATGTTTGTGTCACTGTCAGCACTATAGCAGCTGTTGCCACCTTCCCAGCTGTTCAGCTGAATTGGGATACAAGCTGAAAAAAATGCAACTTGTAATACAGATATTGTATGTAGTGTAGCTGGTAACCTGACATTTCAGAAAACTAACAGTTCTAGTATTGCAGAGAAAGCATTAACCAGTACAGAATCTGAAAAAAAACCCACTGAAGAACTGGATTTCTCAATTACCTAAGCATACTTATAACAGCTTCTTACAAGCTTACCATCATAAATCCAAAACAATGAGTAATCTTCATATAGCTGTTACATGTCAGCAAATCTCTTTACTGAAGTCTTCAGAAAGGTCATGAAAAGGAAAGGCAAGCAAAGGCATGGAGCAGTCAGTGTGGGAGCTCATGTTAACACGCAAGACTATCTGACACCCAAACGTGATCTTTTTATTCAAAGTAATAACAGATTATTCTAATAGGACTTTGGAATAAATGAAAATACTACTGAACATGAAATTCTGGGGGGAGCAATGGAAACATTCATTAAAAAATAGGCACTAAGACTCAAACATGGCAGACCTAGTTTAAAAGCAAAAGCCAACATCCCTCCCAACATTATTTTGTGAGAGAACTACAGGTATTGTGGTTCCACAGTATCTGTTTATAATTCCTGTATTTTCTTCAGTGAGAGCAAGGATTATGATTAATGTCCTTCTACAGCCAAAAAAAGGGACAAACCCTTACATGGCCAGTGTTTTTCAGAAACATGACCAAATGTGTGCATTTCCATGCCCATAAGGACAGTGATCAGCCTGGCATACCTCTATTATTTACAGGCAGGGAACTGCTCTCTGACTCGGCTTGGCAATTCTTCCTTATGAACTACCATTAAAAGCCCAGGAGAATTAGATGCATCATAAAAAGAAATGAATATTAAATGCAAGACTCCTAAGATACTGTCTAAAAAATAACCCAAACCAAAAAACCTGTATACACAGGACCTGAAGTATTGAAATTGCCAAGAAAATCTTGTTTGCAAAACAGTCTTTTATTGTATCCGTGCCACACGTACTAGTGAAAAATAACACTCATAAAAAAGGAAAAGAAAAAGAATGCTACCTTTCCACAACATTTCTTTTAAATAAAACTTCAAGTACTCTTACATTAGTACAAAAAAAATTCCAATCTATCTGCCCCAACAGGCCAGCACAACACACAGTAGATAAAACACAGTGGTTACAAATGTCTTCTTTTGTTATTTTGTGGCAAGGCAAATGGAGGGAAATGTTTCTATGAAAAAATACTGTGTGCGTAGGAAATTGTCACAATTTTCTTCCACATGGATACAAATGATTATACGTGAATTTGAGGCCGTGGGGGCTTGAAATTATATAACAAAATAGAAAAAATGGAAAACTAATATCCCCTACACCCTGTTTTAAAGGCAGGCACTACCAAGATTAAGGAGACTCCACAGTGTTGGTAGAGGATAATTACTGTACAAGCCATAGAGCTATAATTACCTTAAGACTAAAATAAAATGCTACCATCCTCCTAAGGCATAAACAATAATGTCTGCAAACAATATGTACACATCATACATATTTAAAACAAGACTTAATATAAACAATAATGAACAGTATATACATGTCTCAATTTTTCTTCACTGTCTTGAAATACAATTTAACTACACAAGTGATGCAGCAACATATATATAAATGTACTTGTAACTCTACAGTAAAGTTTAATTTTTAGTGCCTTCACAGCACATCAGTGTAAACAGTTTTACTTGGCTTTGTTTTATATTTTAAAACATTCCTTGTTGTATTTTCAACATTTAAAGCAATTTTCTAGTTCTTCCTTTTCACAGAAAACGAAGATTCTGAATGCTGTATAATCATAAATAATTCATAAAATTAAATACATTCACTAAAAAATAAACTACAAAGTAAAAAAAATGAAAAATAGATATTTATTGAAAGGGAAAAGAGAACCATTTCCCCAAGTAGAGCTCTGGTGGTTGAATATTCAGTGCGTTTTGATAAATTGCTATTGCACTATAACACCCCTTTTTTTGAAATTCTTTGGGTGTGCTTCCCTGTTCTACCTAAATTAGTTTGTTAAAACACACAAACCAATAACCAAGGGGCCATGGTTGCTGTAGGAGTGAAGCCTTTAAAACTAGTATCACAACTCTGTGACATTTTAAAGGAAAAAATTAGTTACGTATGTGCCTTGCACTTCCATGTAAATATAGTTCACATTGCTGGTCTTATCAGTCCTCATTTAATGGAAAAAAATAAAGAAAAGCAAAAAAGAGTTCTAGTAGCTTCAGCTCACTTTGAAAATCTCTGTCCATTTTTTTTCAAAATACTTCCTCATGTTGTGGCCAGCCCTGCCTATGTCAGAATCATCTTCATTGAAAGTTTCACAGTTGTCAAAAACAAGCCTGACATCCAGCGAAAATGCTTCAAGGTTAGGGTACCTGAAAGAAGAAAAAAGTGAATGATTTTTGGAACATAGGGAATCAAAGGGGAAAAATATTTCAACTACACTAGAAAATACTTTAAGTAAGAATTTAAATTAGAATTTCTAACAAGAAAATGAACATCAGTGAAAGGAAATACTCTCTTGTTACTGTTTTCTTATTTTCCTCTGAAGTTTTGTAAGGTAGAATTTCATGCCTGTACTGGAAAACAAACTTTTAGAAAACTAATGCCTCCTTCACTTCAACAGCTTTCTAGTTAAAATGCTATGGCTATTTTCCATTTATGCATCTATTCTTGGGTTCAGGGTCCTTCCAGAATGTTGGACAGAGCTGAATTTCTCTAAATGAGGAACAAATGGGTACAAAAAAAGGCTGCCCAGATAATCCTGTGACACTGTCTTTGCTAATTCTTCTTAATCTGAACATACCCCTGAATGGCCCAAAGACTGTTCCAATATTCACAGCAATTATTAAAAATTAAAAATGAAAGTTACATGTCTACTGATATGAGCACATGGGGAGCATTTAGATCTCATCTTCATGGGAGATTCCAAAGCTCCTTGTTGTATCCATGCTAGGAAAGTTGCTGTGTGGAGCTGGCAGACTGCAGCGGGTCCCTCTTCACAGATTCACTAGAGCACAGGGATATTAACAAGGAGGGAAGGGACACACAGCCATGTAGTGTGGTTTTCTCTTAAGAATCTGTGCAGTCTAATTTAGGGCTATAAAATGATTAACCACCATTACAGGAGTGTTACCCACAACAGAGCTGGCAATTCACTCCACAGCCACATCATTTACAGGACTCCAGTAGCTTAAACCTACACAGTTGGTTCTCTCGACATGCAGTAACACTAAGACGTCTCCATGAAAAAAGATGAGGGAAAAAAAGCCTTCCTCTTGATTGTTTTGGTGCATTTGACCTGGCAAATTTTTAGTGTTTTTCAGCCAGTTTCACACATTCTCCCATCCAACATGCTATTTCCTTTGGATAGGGCAAAGATAAAAGCTTAAAATTTATAATTTTTCTTTTGACTGTAAAAGTAATCAC